TAGATATGTTTGAATTTGTTTAGAAAAATAAATTTATTTTGAATTTGTTTAGAAAAATAAATTTACATGTGTTCGTACAAATCGTTTATCCTTGTAATTGATGTTTTCATAATGTTCAATGGATAATATTTTATCAAAATATGTTCGTTTGCGCGTATTTACTTGTATACTAATAAAAGCCGTTTGTTAGATCACTCCATATTAGTGCCTATCACACTATATATTAATAAGCTGAGCTCTTCAATATGTATATGTATATGCAATAAGACTAAAATATGACTTGAGAAACTGTGTTTTAATGTTCATAAACAAATATATTTGACACTATATAATACAACTAATGTGACCACATTTAAAAATAAATTATATGTTAATACAAAACAATACAACTACAAGTAATGTGACTTAATGAATAATGTAATACAACAATTTTACAACTATGAATACAACATACAAAATATAATAACCAGTTCTTCAATATGTATATGTATATGCAATAAGACTAAAAAATATGACTTGAGAAACTGTGATTTAATGTTCATAAACAAATATATTTGACACTATATAATACAACTAATGTGAGCACATTTGAAAATAAATGATATTTTAATATAAACAATACAACTACAAGTAAGTGACTTAATGAATGATGTAATACAACAACGATGAATACAGCATACAAAAATACAACACATGGAATCAACTAACATAATATATATGCATAAATTCAAAATGAAAAGTATGCAGAATAAACTGCTAAACAAAAATTAATCAAAATGATAAGTATGCAGAATTATCTGCTACATAAAAGTTAATCAAAATGATAAGTATGCAAATTATAAAGCAACATAAAAGTTTAAGAAACATAAATTAACTAGTTTTAAAACACGAAGAAGTATCTTCAACAAACGCACAACTACTGTATTTCAATTGGAGCAGACACAACACGAACAGATTGAGGCATTGCATGCCTAGGGGGTGCCTCAGATTCACTAATGGCTCCGTTGTCTTGCTTTTGCTTAGCATAATTCCAAAGAAGTGTTGCATATTTTGACCTTAAAAACATTACGTCAAATGTACCACTTGGATTTCCTTGACAGTAAGACAGCCACTCGGCAAAAACAAGCATATAGATACCACAATCCCTGAATAACACATGAGAATACAAAATTAAAATTTAAATACAAAATAAAATTAAAATTGACTAACTGAATTAATACAACTTACAAGTTACCATCGGTCTGTTGAGGTATGTTGTCTATGAAAACTATATCAAATAACTCATTCTCTTCTTGACTAACAGATCTATCTAAGCCTCTGTTCTTGTAATAATCATACATAGTCAACTTAAGCGGAATGAGTTAAGCCAACTTGGTAACCTCTTTCCTGATTGTTGCATCATGACCTGTCGCTCTATAAGAATCATAAACGTATACACGTCTATCATTAACAGAGAGTACTGCCAAGACCCAATAAAAATTTTCCTTTACATTTACAGGGATAAATACGTGATCCACCAAATGCCACGGAATGTCGGCATGAACTTTATACCCTCTAATGTAATCACCTATAAAATGCTCTTCATCAGCGCACCAGACATCACTATCTAAATCTTCATACTTCTTCCAAATTGATGAAATTTTGGACGTAAACACACAATCCACAGTTGTGTATTTATACCTGTTGTCCACATCATACTTTGCTTTCTTTCTCAAATAATAAAATATAACATTGATATGCTGAAAAATAAAAAATAAATAATCATTAGATAACAATAAAACAACGAAGAATAACTAAATAACTACAGTTATTACTTACTAAGTCATTCAACAATTGTCTTTTTGAGTACAAATTGTAGAACCAATTTTTATTGTCTACAATATCAACACCAAAGTCAAATGGGACAGGAATGAGTGCTTTACCCTTCTTGTATCGATCCTGATCATGACATCTAAAGAAATACACAAAAAATAAAAGGTATACAATATGTACACAGTAGTTATATGACGTCTAAAGAAATACACAAAAAATAAAAGGTACACAAATAATAAAAGGTATTCATAGAAACATAGAAATTATATAGGTATCTAATGTATTTGTGAAAATATGCACCAGAATTTAGAGTAACATGCATAACAACAAATAAAGATTTGGATTGTTATTACAATACATAATTTTAAAAGGATCAACGAAAAATATATGAGTTGTTTCAATCAATTTATAAAACAACATACATTAGCATTCAATAAGTTGATTAATTGAAAATACACTAACATGTTTAGAATACATTAAAAAATGAATCAGATTAATAACTGATTATGCAAAACAGCCTCAAAAAATAATAATCATGAATACAAAAAAAACATATCATATACTAAAAAAATTTAGAATACATATTACATCATACAATTTTTTTATATTATTATGCGTAGTACATACTTACTTGTTCTCATGTTTTGCAAAAATACCTTCGCAAATCTATGACCGATGTGCATCCCACATAATGATATCACGATTGCCAGAAATAAGATCAAAGATGGACGGGTGTTTCAGTTCAAAAATAATTGGTTGCACTGATGAAGTACCTGATATAAATGTTAAATTAAAAAATAACATACCATAAACAAAAATTAGAATAAACATATAAAAATCAGATTTAAAATACATTAAAATTTGTTATGTCTTTATACCTGCAGATGAGCCGAACGATGTCATATATGGGAATGTATTGAAAGGTCCTGGACGTCTAATCCTATGCGCAGTTAATGGTGTGTGAACATGACTTTTTTTGTTTTAGACAATCCTTGCTAGCCTGTTTTTGAATATTTGAGTTGTCATTGCTTGTGGTTTGAATGTGCATGATAATGCTCTGTTCTGCATTAATGGTATTGTTAGTAACACAAATACTTTTTATGTCACTGAGACTTGGCATTAGAGAATCATCCAACTCAAACTGTGATTGTGGTGACCCTTCCATGGTAACAATAGATTGAATAGGGGTAGGAAATATGAACTGATCCTCTTCATCATTGTCATCTTGATCTGTAAAGTCATGTTGACTTTCAAAAACAAGTGACCTTATTTTTTTGAGTTTGTCAAATACAAATGATGGTTGAGGTATCTGTAGTTAATAAAAAAAAATTATTCTAATGCAAATTATACTAATAAGAACAAAAGTAATTAGTTTAGATAAGTAGAAAAACATACACTTGGGATTATTGATTTAGACGAACTAAAACCAGCATCTACATTGATCAGATTACGCATAGGGGAATTGTCACAATCAACCTTTAAAAATATAAAAATGTTAATTATAAACAATATTCCCATCTGCACTACATAAATATGGAGAGTTAACCAACATACTTGTTAATTAGCACCCCCAACAATATCGGGTATGTCTCCCAGATTTGAATTTTCAAAAATTGAATGATCCTTTAAAAAAAAGAGATTGAATAAAAAAAATATCAAACCATCTAAAATACAAAATTTATAATGAACATACTTGAAAAACTTCCTTGCTGCCATCATTTGAGCTTTCATCACACTCCGACTTCTCATCATCAAAAAGACCATTCAATCCATGTAGATACAAAAATAGTCAACATATATATATATATATATATAATAAAATATTTATATTGAAATACAATATTAACGACATGTAAAATACAAATTAATATTAAACATAAACATAGTAAGAAATACAGAATACAAAAATACTAATCTTTATTTTAAAAATAAGATGTCTCTACCTGATTTTGATTTTCTGATGCAATTGGACTTGCAAAATGTTGTCGTCCTTGAGCAGCAGTGTGATTATTTATGTTGTTCTGAAAATATATTTGATATAAAAACAATCAACATATATTTAATCACTATGAATAAAGAAACAAAGTACTTACAAATATAGGAAAAAAATTAATATTAGACATATATATTGCAGTATACAGAATACAAATCGAATAAACTATTATTTTCAAAATGAGTTGTGTCTACCTGATTTTGATTTTCTGATAAAATTGGACTTGTAAAAGGTTGTGATCCTTGACCAGCATTGTCATTGTTTTTTTTCCTGTAAATATTAAATTACAACATAGAATTCGAATTCAAAAGAATAAAAATAAATTTAAACATAAAAATTTAGCATATTGTATAACCTCAAAGTAGACATAATGATATTAAAATTATCATTTATCAACTTCCGTATGTCTTTAAACACTTCTCTAACCTGAAACAGTTACAATATGATTAAATTTTACAGATTGCAATAATTTGAATAAATATATTGAAAAAACATAAGTATAAACAGTATATACCTCCTTTCGTAACTCAGAGAGTTCATTCCTCATTAATTGTTCATGAGACACACTTACAGATAGTATTTGGGAATCCTTTGTTGGCACACAAGTGCGAGTGTTTTCTTCTTAGAACACAATTTATTTTTCTTCCGCACAACTTTTCTAATTGCAACTTTTTCCACATTCCGGTTCGCTATTGGTTCGATCTGTTCATTCCATTCCATTTGATCTGTGATATTTGAGTCCTTTTTTCGTACCCTTTTAGCAGGTGATACTGATTGCCCCTTTTTTCTTTTACCTGTAACCTTCATTGAAGGTGGAGATGGATTGACAAAATCAACATCTGAATTCTGTCCAGAAAGTACGTGTTCATCAATATCACAATGTGGCTCTGTTTGAACACCTTCAGTTGATTTTTCAACACCTTCAGGAGGCAATTGTAGAACAACAATTTCCATCAGAGAAGGGACAACATTCTTCCATTTAATTTGAAAACGATAGTAAACAGAATAATTAACATACTAAAAGATATACATCGAATTAATACAATTACAAGGGTACAATTTCATGAATTATATACCATACCTCTCTATTACCATCATTGAATGTGTCTTTCATCAAGGTTTTGAATCAGGGTTTTGCTCATACTGTTTTCCAGTTTAGAACACGCGGGTTACGATCACTGATTTTTCGTGCAAAATTCGTCTGACGCTTACCCATGCACTCGTATATCTATATTTGAAGGACAACAGGCATACCACATATTCTATAATATTGACCATCAGTAGTCAAAACCTTGTTGATACTCTGTAGCAACCACTCAAATATTTTTCTGCCCCAAGGATAATGCATATACCGACCACTTTCAACTAAATCAAAATGAATTCTAGGAATTCGCAATGATCTCTTCTCGCCAGAATGCACAAACATATGAACGAAATATAATATTGCAAACTTAATCGCATCATCATCATTGTCAACCCAAACTTTACCATTGAACCTATCGAACAAATCAGATTTACGTATGATCTCATTACCACCAAAGTACTGAACAATAAGTCGGTTAGGTTCTTCTGTGTTAAACTTGAAATCCTCTACAACACCAACACAGTTTAATCCAGTAATAAGCGCAAACATCCTAATTGTGAACTTTAAAATAACTCCATTTACTTTGATTGCAAGAGCCTGATTACTACTAGCTTCTACTTCTACTGACATACATCACCTGTGAATTTGACCTTGCCCAACACATTTTCTGATTTTCATATACTAACTAAAATACGTACTCTCACAAAAATAATTATACTGCTCCGGTGTAAGCTTGTCAGTCAACTTGAATTTAATGTCATGATTTACTATACAATGAATGTGGGGTGCATTTTTTGGTAGCTTTTTGCAAGCATAAGAAGTCCCCTGGCATATTGAATTCTAAAAAATGAAATAATACTAAAATAACATAACAAAAAAACATGATTAAATAAAAAATCAACACAGTTACAACAACATACAAAAAAAAACACATATGGTTACAAATATGTGGTACATTAACATAACTAACACAAAAAAAATAGAATACGAAATGAATTTATGGATATATACATATGTAATACAGAATACAATATACAATTCCTATTCTATGTATATCAAAAATACAATAAAATTATGAACTACAAAAATACATACTTGACTAAAACATCAACAGAACTCAATATAATAGTAAATACACAATCAAACTTATAAAATTTGTTACATTGACAAAAAAAATACAATAAACATATTAAATACAGAAATACATGCTAACTATAATAGTGAATACAAAAAACATTAGAACTATGAAAAAAGTAAAAAAAAAAATAACTATAACAAGATGAAAATTTCGAATACACTTACAAATGTATATGATAATAGTAAATAGACAATCAAACTTGGAAGCTGTATTTCATTGACAACTAATACAAAAAAGAGGAACAGAATTACATAAATGACAGTCAAAAAATTTTCCAATACAAAAATACATAGAGACTATAACAGACTAAACATTCCAAATACTCTTTCAAATTCATTGTAACATGTATTTTTTTCAATCTTAAAAATTACTAAACAAATTAAACTAAACATGCAATACACAACACATGCAAAAAAAAATTATCTCTTCTCCAAAAAATTGTTCTTCTTCAACTTCATGAAATTCTGTGAAATTTTGCACCTCGACAGGTTTAGCCATTTTTCCACCTCGTATAACCTCCTTAGACTTAGAAGATGAACCTACATTGTTGTTTATTTCTTGAGTGAAAAAAAATTAAACTATGTAACTCAGAAGGACTGTGATTTTTTTTTTCACAATACCTCTAGTAACTCTTTTGAATGCATCCATTGAAGAGTGAATTTGATATTATTAAACCCTAAAAAATAATTTAAGAACAACAATAAAATTAAAAAAATTAAAAAATAAAATAAGTAAGTAATCAAAAAGTAATATGAAGAACATAATAATCAACTTAATGTGAATCTCCAAATCAAACCTTCAAACGGAATTACTTGAGAATGACGTAAAATAGAAAAATTCGAATTTAAAGAAATTGAAGCGTAAATCTGGGGATTTGATGATATATGAATAAATTGATTTTGAAGATGTTGTGTCTGTTGAAGAATGTTAGAGAGCTAACCTGCAATTCAAACGAAAATCATGGAAGATTAAGAGTTGAAAATTAAAAAAGATATTCTGAAGAATTAGTTTTGGAAAAGGGGTTTTAGAGAGAGAAAATATTTTATTAATAAAAGTGAAAATAATGCATTAGAAGTTGTTGAATTATCGATTAAAGAGGGTTAAGATATAACGTGACAACACAATTAAAAATCTGGAAAGAGAGTGTAAAAGAGATAACGTGACAATCCCAACTAAAAAGATATTCTGAAGAATTAGTCCTGAAAAAGGGGTTTTAGAGAGAGAGAAAATATTTTAATAATAAAAGTGAAAATAATGCATTGAAAGTTGTTGAATTATCTATTAAAGAGGGTTAAGATATAACGTGACAACACAATTAAAAATCTAGAAAGAGAGTGTAAGAGAGATAACGTGACAATCCCAACTAAAATCTGGGAATGTGATAAGTTTAATATTAATAAATATAAAAGGAAAATTCGGGAATCAATGCATAATTTATTTTGAAAAAATGTTATAAAGATAGTGAAAATATTTTATTAATAAAGTGAAAATAAATCTTGGAAGTTGTGGAATTGATTTGTAATAAATATATCGATATAAATTAATAATAATCTTAATATAAGAGAGAGAAATTCTAAAATATAATTAGTATATATCTAATTACTCAAATATAGGAATATATATAATTTATGGGAGAGAAAAAAAATGGTGTAAATAAAGAGAGAGAAAATATTAATAATATAATAATAATTATTTATTTTTAAAATAGTGACATTTTTGACATGTTTACTAATATTATTTAAGTATGGACATTATCACTAAATAAGTTGATTTTTTTGGCTAGTTAGCTAAAGTTTCCTTATTTTATTCTATATAATTTTCCCAAAAAAGGGGGTTAAGCCCAAGTTCATTTCGGACAGCGATGAATTGGGCCAAAAATCTAAGATCAACACAATCAGCTCCAGACGAACATAAATTAGATTTGCCAATATTTATTTTCTTTATTATTGGAAACTTATGTAAATATATTATAATAAAAGAATATTTATCATTTGTAGCAACAATAATTTTTTTTTACTTGATCACTTTTAATTCATTTATAATACAAGTTTAATACATATTACAAAGAGCAATTTATTATTCACATATAATACAAGTTTTGAATAATGGATGATATATTTATCACACATTTTAATATAATGTGTCAATTTTTTACCAAACAAACATAATATATTTCAAAAACAATTATAATTCATATATATTACATACATAATTCACTTTTAATAAATATTGCAGATTTAACATATTATTGCTATAAACGGCAATAAGAAAAAAATTTCGCTAAAATCAATAATTATTTATTAAATTGTATCAATTCATATAATTTTCCTTCTTCTTTTAATTGTATTTATTATATTTAATTCTTGTTTGTTTTATTCGATATTAATTTGATTATAACTCAATTCAAATACCCTAAAAGATGAATTCTTTTGGTTATTGACTTATTTATAATAATTTTTCAAAAAATAAACACTCATAAACACTTGCCTATCTCCATTTTATCTAAAGCATATGGTTGAATTTCTTTACCTAGTCATCTTTTTGGACAAAATGTGCTTTTTTCAAAAAAAAAAAAATTCAAAAAGTGTGAAAATCATAACTTCCTTAAATAAATTTTTTGTGTCTATACTTTCTTTGAAAATTAGCCAAATTTTTAAATCATTCGATAACCATATAATAACAGCCATTTCAATTACCCTAAAAAAAATCTTCTTTAAATGAAAATGTGATTTTTGTGTCTTTATTCGAAACTTCAAATGATTTTCGTGTTTAAATTTTTTGAAATCAACTCAAATTTTTTTTAATTTTCTTTTAAGAATTAAGTAGCGATTCCTAAAAAATGATTTTTTCCCTTGAAAGTTGAATTGATTTTTCTTCTTTGTAAATCGGCGTCTTCTTATAACTAAAACAGCATATATATATATATATATTTATTTATTTGTTTATTTATATTTTTTCTTCTGTAGCCTAGGGGTTGAGTCGGGTCTCCTAATGAATACCCAAAAAACTATTTACAGTTTGTTAATCTAATTGAATAATTAGAAAAATCACCTCTAAATTCACAATTTATTTTATATCTAAAATTTCGTACCATTTGAAAACATTTCGTACCATCCGCCCCTTCTGGATTTTCAACAAATTTAAGAAATTTTTATAATTTGAAAAAAAAATAGGGATAAAATGTAATTAACTCTTAACACAATGTGATTTGTGTAAAATTCCCTAAAAAATTCTACGATATGTTAAGCTAATAAGATGGAAACACTATCTAATCATACAAATATTTCTATTATATTTAATAATTTTCGTCACATTTTGTAACAATTCTATTTTATCTCATTATTTAATAATTTCACATCTGATTTCAATTCAAATACACCTAGACACATAACTTTTGCTATCAAATACATGAAATTTGGCAGAGAGCGAGCAAGAATAGGAGAGAGGCTAGAGAGATATGTCTTTGTATCCCTAATACATGTGAATCACATTAGATACACACTATATGCATATATCTGGTGTGATCAACATGTATATGATTTATGAAATACGCTCACGAGATATGAGAGAAGGGAACGAGATGAGAGGGAGTGGTAGAGATCTGTTTGTATATTCTAGATACATGCAAAACCAATTGAATATAGTCTATCAAGAACAAATTATACCTAATTTTGACCGCATGTATCTCGAGATACATGTATCTAGTGTGTCACTAGATGTATATGAATGCACCAAAATTCAGTAATATTAATAATATTAACTAACATATACCGAAGTAATTAGTTCCTAAACTAGTGAAATTTCAATAAATTTCCTATAAGATTGCTAAAATATTTTTTAGTATTATGTATATGTTTAATATATCAACGGAATATGGCCTAAAATACCCTTGAAGTATCAGAAATGGTACAAAACTACCATCAATCCACCTAGTGACTCCAAAATACCCTTCTCATCCACCTATTGGCTCAAAAATACCCTTCTCATCCACCTATTGGCTCAAAAATACCCTTGAGTAATTTCTCTAGATAGTCACCCATGTTTGGAAAATTATCTAGAAATATCACTTATGTTTGTTTTAGGACTACAATATCACCCAACTTTACCTATTCTCCTCAAACTATACTTGACACAAAAAATACATTATCTCTCTTCTATTAGAATGCCATGTCACATTATTTATTTATTATTATTAAAAAAAGATGTTTTAAACCTATTTAAACGTTAGGTTGCAGTATGTTATTTTTAAAAATATTGTTTTCTATTTATGTTTTTTGAAAATGTTTTGTTTTTTAAATATACAAAGATAAATTTTAAAAATGAATGAAAAAAACAGTACCCATTTCTACAACTAACTGTAATGGACTGTTTTAACTATTTTTTAAAAATAAGTTTTTAATGATAATTATTATTTTTTAAAAGTTTTTAAAATTAATTTTTAAATAATTATTGTAGTCATTCTATGGTGCACTTTTTTCGTTTCCTATTTAGATAGTTTGTTGGAGCACTCCCTAAAATCACTGAAACTGTGATAAATATAAAAAGACATTACAGTTTTTTATAAAATAATTCAATTTTTAGTTTTCAGTTTTTAATCTTAAAAATTGAAATTTGAAGCACTTAAAGATCTTTCATTTTTTTCTTGTAATAGCCATTACTGTTTTTATAAAACAAAATAGTTCAATTTCATTTTTTTCCTTTAAAATTGAAATTAGAGGCATTTAAATATCATCTATTTTTTGTCGTTACAGTTTTTTTTTTAACAAAAGAACTTTTATTTTATTTTTAAATAGCTACATTAAAATTCATGTTTTTTTAATTGTATTTTTAGAGCATATTTAAAATGTTTTTTTGAAAAATTAAAATTCTTGAATATTTATGGTGCTGACATGTGACACATTTTACTTCTTCTATTACATATCGATAGATTTTTTTTTAAAAAAAATAGACAAATTCACATATTATGCCTAGTAAAAAAAAATTACATTAAGAACTGTAATATGAGCTCCTCCGGTTCTTCAAGAAAATATGTGGGTTCCTCCAGTTCTTTAAAAGAATTAGAAAAATATTAATAATAAGTTAAAAAATGGGACATGACACCCTAGTAGGAGAGATATAATGTATTTTTTTGTGTCAAGTATATTTTGAGGAAAATTGACAAAGTTGGGTGATATTGTAGTCTTAAAACAAACATAAGTGATATTCCTAGGTAATTTCTCAAGCATGGGTGACTATCTAGGGAAATTACTCAAATACCCTTGTATCCACCTTTGGGTTCAAAATTGACCACATAATTCAAGTGTCTAATTAAAAATTATCGATAAACTTAAAAGTCTGACTATGTTTATTTTAATTATTCATTCGTCTCAATTATGTGATGTTACTTAATTGATAACCATTTTAAAAATATATATATTAAAGTTTTAATATTTTAAAATAAATAACAAATATTTATGATATTATATTTAAAAAAAGTGCAGAATTAATTCGGGATGTACTACTTCTTTACATTTAATCATAAAATTCGAATTCAAGTTTGAAAGAGAATCCCATTGAAAGTGTCCTCCTAAATAAGCGGCTCAACCTAAATTTAATTGGGGTTTCAATTCGGACTCGGATAATTTTGAATGTTATTTTTAGGAATCTGTAATTTCGTCGTGTTTTAGTAGTGTTTAGGGTGATTTTGACATTAGAGTTGGTTTATTAATTGGGTGAGTCATGGGTGAATAATGAGTTGGTTTATAAATGATATTAAGAAATTAAATTATATCCAATAGTTGAGCGCCAAGTATTTTTAAGAAATATTTAAATAGTTTAAATTTGAAACTGTTAAATAAGTGATCAATTTTGAACTCAAAGGTGAATGACAAGAGTATTTTGGAGCCAATAGGTTGGTGAAAAAGGCATTTTGGAGCCAATAGGTGGATGGAGGGTAGTTTCATACAATTTCTAATACTTCGAGGGTATTTTAGGTTTTTTCCGATATATCAATTCTATATTATTAGATTATCACAAGTGAAAAATACAAAACCATGAGAATAATGTTAATGGTCAAATTAAGCCTTAAGGAATTAGAGATCCAACTAAATTTGAGAAGCACTCCCATAGACTCAAATTTGATATCTCCGATCAAGAACGAAAGAATACTTACCACATCATTACGACATTTTTAATCATAATATAATATATATTAATGTCCAGTAGATGACTATAAGTGAAGAATTTAAATGTCATTATTTTCTCAAGTCCTTGTGTCACGGATTTAGAGTATTTGCTAAGACTCCTTGCGGCACTTTACAACTTACTCACGAATCTTTCGCTATCTTGTAAGCTCAAGTAAGCCCTTTTATAC